CCTGCTACATCTCAAATTGACTTACTTTCGGAGTTCTACGGTGACACATTAAACTCAGTGGAGTTGTGTGACATTCAACCTAGCTATGATATTTATTGTGGATGTCATTCAGCAGCTTACCACTTCCACCACCACCACCTCCTCCACCTCCTCCACCTCCTCCTCCTCCTCCTCCTCCTTCTCCACCTCCCCCACAGTTGACTATTTTGATCTCGTCGATGGCAATGTCGCCTTGCCAACCCTTCCCGCGGACACCTTCAAAACCAACCTGTAAAAATAATGGAGAAGTAACTGAAATAGCGATATATGGCATAATGAGAGGCTTAGAAGCAAAGCGGGCTCGATACACTCATAAAGCTAAGTAACGTAGTTGGTTACAAAAAGCACTGTCAAAGAGTGTTTTCTTTGATTGTGCAGCAGACGCAATTTTAATTGCAAATAAGTAATTTGCAGTTATTAACTTTGGAATAGCCCTGTTTTCTTCTGAACCCTCAAGTGTGGTCTGTAGATATATAGGTTATTGACCAAGCGTGAGGTCAAGATGGCTGGATATTGGCCAAGTTCTTTTTTGCGTGTGCATGGACCGAGAGAGAGTCGAGGTCCATAAAGGCGCAAAAAAATAAAAAAAGAACGAGGTCAATATCCAGCCATCTTAACCGAACAAGCTTGGTCAATAAAGAGTTAATTTTATGGATAAATAACACTATTTTCTTGTTGGACGAAGCGAGTAATCTCGAGCAGGCAAGAAAGCGCCATCTTGCCCGCTCGGGTAGCCAATCACAGCGCAGGACTCGGTTCATCTTGCCCTCTCACGGATTTAGCCATGTAATAAATCATAACCGTATACAACCTACAAATGCAGTACATTATAAAACCACACGCTTGCTTACGACGTTAGCTCTTTCTTGAACTTTCAAGTCAGCCTTTCTCCACGTGTCACCTTGCCTACCAGTTTTTCTGAACCGCTCCTGCCCGTTCACATATACTATCAGTTCACCAATGTCATTCCCATTCATGTGATAATAGAACGAGATACATGTCGGACCATTTCCCAGAGGAGGCCTGATCTCTAGTTTGGCTTTATCACCCGGCCTACGAGGGCTTGATGCCTCGATGTAGGCGTAAGAACCTGTAAATGAACAAATCAAAGCCTTTTGTTTCGTACAGTTAGTGGTTTTCTCATAAACTTCCCAGTCTTCTAACTCCTGCCGCCTGCCGGGGTGTGACGATAAGGCGCCAGATTCTGTTTGGTCAAGAATTTCATAACTTAGACCAGTACAATTTTTAACAAGAGTTTTATCGGGCACATTTAGTTGTGGTTTGCATTTCTCCTGGGCTTTTTACGACAGATGACTACAGGCCCCGTATAGGGCGGCACGCAGGAGAGGGAGGTATTTCAAAATGCTACTGAGGTGTAATGCTACCCGTGCGTTGGCGTCGTCCGCCCATATTTATTGGNGCGCGTTTCAATACTTCGTGTGTCAGTTATTCTTTTCATCTTTGTCTCATTTTTTTTATATCGGTGGTACTTTAGCATGTTCTGTTTTTGAGTAAAATACACTTTGAGATATCGACAGAGGATAATCTGAGAAATACTTAACTTACCAGCTCCAAAAGCCACGTTCGCAAGTAGTACAGTAAACAGCAACATCTTGAAGACCAGCTTATTGGTGAACATGCAGTGAATTATATGAGTTTTTAACGATTTTATTGTAAGTTGATATGCTCAGTTATCGATCAACTTATTTGTGGCCTAATGGAACAAGCACTTCCTTTAAATACAACCTTTTTGCGCTTTTCAATAGCTGCATTAGCCCTTAACAAAAGAACAAAAATGGAACAATTAAAACATACTGAAATATTTAAACACATGGAGCTGCTGATGAGTTTTCACAATAAAACATTATAGTTATATTTGTCTTGGCCCAACCTGAACAAGTAAAATATACGTTCAGTGTTAAGCGTTTGTTTACATATCGTAGGATTTTTCATGAATTGACAAACAAATACAGTAACTTCTGAACAGGGTAATAACTGGTGTTAAGTAGACTAATAATTATACCTGTTAGTAAGTAAACATTTTTTTCCATTAACCTTGGTCACCAAGTTTTGCCATAAAGGCAGCGAACTTAAAAAAAAACAAAAAACATTCAATTTTACTGAAAAGTATCAGGGTTTTGTATCGGCAATTGTCTTGATATCCATACATTCTATGAGTTTGTAACGTCCAATGAAATAAATTATTTCGGGCAAAAACAAATATCCGAAAATATAACCGTCCGAGATTTTTAGGCGTCCGAAAATTTAAGCGTCCGAAATATTTACAGTACAGTATAAATCTTTTTAAACAAATAAAATCAGCAAGATTCTACATGGGAGGTTTGTATGATAATTTCGCCAGTGGAGAATATTTTTTCGGACAAAAGTTTTGCACAAACTTTTCGTTTTGTAGATAAAAACCGCAAAAATCGCAAAAATTAGAACCAGGAAAATTTTGTGCTACACGGTACTTTAAGCAGGCGCCTTTTAAGTGGTTATTTGCTTAAAACTAATGCAAGGATCATTAACTCTAACAGGTTAATTTGAGTCACTCAAAATCTAAGCATTTTTATCTTGTACCTTTGAATTCCAGTTAATAGAAGCAACAAAAGAAAGCTAATGAAACATATTACAAATATTTAAACAGATTTATATGCTCATTTGTCTTTACAATACGAAACGTTTTCGTTGCCCAAAGGTAGCAACCTTCTGCTTTTTTATTTATAGAAATTAAAACAAGTGAATATCGATAATGCTTTCAGTAGATATTGGTTAGAAAATTGTGCAATTAAAAAACACATTATATAAGAATGAAAATGTCGTGATTTTGAAAACGAATAGGGCGACTGTCAAAGTTTATAAATTGTGCGAGTTAAAACGTTTTCTAGGTAAATTAGAAGTTTTCGACCTGTATAATAAAGATTATTTATCCTCACCAATCGCAACAGCCAAAAAAAAAGAAACCCGTTTGGGCTTGAGAAATGCAATCAGTCTTTCAGAAATTGTCGGCTTGCATTTGGAAGGGATATTGCGTCTAAAAATCATAGGGTGAAGGTGGGAAAAGTTCATGGTAAAAACGTTTTAAACATATCCAGCACGAAAAAGCGAACAAGCTATACAGGTTTCAAATAAACATGGAAGCTTAAAGCACACTGTAACAAAAATCGCCAAACAACTTCATAGTGGGGAATTTGTGATCGCAAGAGAGTTTTTTTAATAACAAAGAAATTTCGTTGTTAATTACGAATTCTGCAGCTGGTAGCTAAAGGAGTAAATCTTATTTTCATAATTTTCGACATTTACTTTGAGCGCCCACAGTTTTTATTTTTAATCAGTTGAGTTATATCCCGTGACTCCTGTGTGCTGGGTTTAAGTTATTATTAAAATATTATTATAACATTATACTAAGTTATGAGCCACCACATAACAGCCTTGTCACAATTCCTTTCTGTATAAGATTGCCCATATGTGGAACCGGTTACCAGCTATCACCAAACCCTCGACCACTTTGGCACAATTTCGTTCTCGTTTGAATGGTGTGGAGTTTGCAGGGTGCCAGTGTATGAAATGTATTTTCCAACTCATATTTTTAATATTAGGACTAGTTGCCCTTAGAAATATTTCATATTTTAATTCTGAATTCATCTTAGCAAATATAGTAATTGTAAGTAGTAATGTTATTGTAAATAGTCGTGCGTTTTTATCATGAGCCCCTGGCGCGGGAGATTGGGCAACCACTCCCTACGTTTACGACTTAAAATAAAGTCACCCAACCTTACCTCTCCTAAAGTTCCTACTGCGCACGTATTTCATGTTCGGCTACCCTCTGTTAGCGCGAGCAAAATTTCCCACAACTGATAAACATCGATTTTCTTGAAACTAACATGTGTGTGTAGCCCTACAACAAATTTTACTAGAAAAGTATACGATTTTGAAAACGACAAAACAAGCAAGTAGGAGATAAAGCTCAGTTCAAATACATGTATTTTATCTTTACCCACAACATGACAAGAACTCTAAGGTTTATTTAAAACTCTGACATTTTTTAATTTCAACTTCATAATTTTGTTCTTCCACTTACGAAAGCCAATCGTATGAATTCGAACTGCTCACTCAAATCATAAAATGCCGTGTCTAGTTCTTTTGATTGCAGAGTGTCTTTGCTCCTTCGAGGATTAACGCGGTTGAGAAATAAGGAGTTGGAAACTAAAACTCGTAAAAAACCCCAGACACAAGCATATTGCGAAGGTAATATATTATATCTACGGTAATATGGTTATTCTTCAGCCGTTTATCTAAAAGAGATTCCATAGGGTAAACATTGGCTGCTAATGTACTCTTGCTGCTAAAATTCAGTCAGCCTTTTACGAACTCTTAATCAACCTCCCCTTGTTTCTTTTACAATAAGGACAACAACAACTTTGTGTGGTTGAAAATGGGGAAGTGGCTGACAGAATGCTCTGTTAATATTTTAGCCCCATGAACCCCGGGAGTGTCAAAAAAAAAAAAAAAAA